TGCACAAAAAAGCTGCTATTATTAACTTTGCATTGAAAACTAAAAAAAAACCTAATGCTTAAAGAATTGAAAAACAAATGCTTAGAGAATAAAAAAGTGAAGCTTTTGCTAAATATGAAAGCTCAGTCAAAAGCTTAGAAAAAAATGCACTTTAAAGCACTTTCACGTATTTGAAATAGTTAAAATTATGAGGGCATAAAAGTTTTACAAAGTCGCAACTGCTAATTCACACAAAAAATTTTAATTTCATTAGCTTTAAAGGTCATTGAAATTTCTTAAAATATAGAAAATATAATTTTTTACCAACCAAATCAAAAATTTTTTGCAACAAAATAAAAACGAAAGTTTCAAAAAATGTATATATATATATATATATTTATTTAAAAGTATAATATTTTCCTTATCATCAGCGAACATGTGTAATATATGTAGGTATATCATATATGCATGTTGATGCACTTAATAAACTTAATTAATTAAAATACAAAATAAGAAAGAAAGAAAAAAATACACGAAAAATCAAAAATTCAACTCATTACTTTGTTACAAGTCATACATATACGCGCATTTGCATATGTGTGTTATAATATATGTATATTTATCTCTTTAAATATATTTAATATATATGCGTTGAATATATGTATATATAAGTATGTGGGTGTGTGTATAACTGTGTGTAGGTATGTGTATGTGTGTGTGCGAGTGTTTTCTTTTTGCTCTCTCTCTCTCTCTCATACACTAGTGCAGTAAACTATAAATATTTTTCTTTTTTTTTTGATTTGAAGAAATTATTATTTAAATTATTTTCAATAGGAAACTTGCTACGCTTTTTCATTTAATAATTTAACAGTTATAAATGCTTTTACAATACAAAAATTAAAAAAAAATTAATATATATGTAAGAAAACAAAAATGAAAAATAATTTTTATTTTTTTCTTTGTTTTTTTTTTTTTAATATTATATATAAAATAAGGCATACACATATAACCACACTTACAAAGAAATTGAGTTTTTTTTACAATAAAAATGTTTAAGTTTAAAAAATCTCTCACATGCTGCCAGGGAAATTTAGCGTAACCACACAGTTTTTTTTTATTTTTTTGTTTTTGTTCTACACGCAATGACATGCTTTTTGTTTATATGTATTATTTTTAATTATTTTTTCACCGTCAGCTCGCGTCTTCTTTGACATTACCAGGTAATGCCGTTTTACATCATCATTTACATAAACATACATACAAATATATATGTATGTAAAGTAAGTAGGTAAGTTTCACTGCTTTTATGGCACCTAACGAGTCATACATATTTGTATATATGGAAATTTTTGTATGCTTAATTTTTTATTTTTTATTTTTATTTTTTTTTACTTTTAATTTATTATTAATTTGTTTTCCCGCGCTTTGCGCTTTAAAATTATTATTGAAATTCTCACCTCTATCTAGTGTGGCTATGCGCTAAAAAAGGAGTATACAATGAAACACAGCATAAAAGTATAAAACTTATTTAACAATTAATTAAAAAAAAAAAATTAAATAATTTACAATTGGGAAGACAATATGCGTTTACGCTTAGGTTTTTTTTAACGCACGCTACAAAAAATATTATTATTTTCATTTCAAATAATTGTTAATAAATAAAATTAAAAATTTCATATAACAAAAGAATTTATAAAAAAAATAAGGCATGGAAAAATCAAATCACAATTTGCTGTGAAAAACCATATTTCATAACATTAGTATTAGTTGGTGAACTTAAATAAAAAAAAACACAATAATTGCATATTTATTTGTGACAAAGTGGTTTTTCTTTCATATAATTGTTTTTTTTTTTCATATAAATAATTAATTACATAATAAAATATCAAGTAACATTAAGTTCACAAAGTCCTTCCGCTGACATTTGCTTCACATACTCATTACGAAGCTTAAACAGCTGCTGCTGCTGCTTGTTCTTCTATTTCACCAAAAAATATATTACTCATACGTCGCTACTTAATTGAAAGGCAAAGAAAAACTCAAACCTAGTCGAAGCATTATTTCTTTCTTTTCAATATGCTGCCCTCCCTAATGTGTGTCTATAGGTCTGTATGTGTGTGTGTGTGTGTCGTTTTTAAGTGTCATTAAATTATAAAAATCATAATTATATGCTTACATACGCTTGTCTATACTTGTATATATTCAAAGAATTTTTTTCAAGTTTTTTATTTTTTATATATCACTTAAGCGAAAAACCCAACAAAAATAGTTAATTTTACAATTATTTTTTTTTTTTTTGTTTTTGCTCCTCACTTTCAAGCAGTTCGTTAGTACAGTGGTAGTAAGCTAACGTCCTATAACAATATGTGTTTGTATGTGTCAGTTTAAGGTATGAACGTGTCGATTTGGAAACTATTTTATTTGTATTTGCTATTGTTTTTGTAGTTTTTATTGTTCTAGGGAAATCCCAAATTGCAAAAAGTAGTTGAATGTGAAGCTATTTCAAGACAAGAATCGTTCTTAAGCTCTTAGTCAAAGCTTTAGGGAAGCTTTTAAAGCTTTCATCAGCTCAAATAGCAGGCAGAACTCGCGGACAGTAAAATTGCATTTAGATCACTATTTCTCAGTATTAATTCGGCTTTTTTGGTTTCATGAAAAATAAAATTTTTCGGAATTTTGAAATTTTCTATGTAAAATTTGCCTTGTTTTTGTGAAAAGTATTTCTAGCTTTTGAGCTGGAAGGCTGTATAATCTTTTCTTCGTCCACACAGTATTGATTAAATGTACAAAAAGCAAATTTAAAGGTTCTAATCAAGAGTAAACATGAAATCTCTAAAAAGCTCAAACTTTTTGAAAGCTCAGCAGAGTGGATTCTTAGTTAATTTTCTTTGCTTAATTTCCTTTCTGAAAAATAACGGCTGATAAACTGCTGATGTCGTAATATGTTTAAGAAAATGGCAATTCGGGTTTTCCTCAATGAAAAGCTTTTTTTACCAATTAACTATTCTGTATTGCTTTTTATCTATTGTTTGTTATTGTAATTCACTGTTTGTTAAAATTTATTTAAAATTTCATTCCGCTCATAACTTTAATGTGCTCGAACATAGTTTAGAGTCCTTTTCGAAAAGACTATGTTGGTTGTATTACACCCTAAAACTAGATATACAAGTATATAGGTAGGTATGTTTGTGTGTATGGGTGAGAGTGTTTACGCTAGAGATATCGATGCAGATCTGAATGCGTCTTAAAGTTTGAGAGTATATTTGTTTGTATATTTGTATATGTAAGTTTTTTTGTGGTTGTGTGGAAAAAATATATATATAAATTTATATATTAAAGTAATTATAGAAATTTATTTTAAAATTAATGGCTATATTTTTAACTTGCTCTTTTTTTATTTCTTACGCTTGCTGCACACACACGTTTGCCTTTTTTTAATTTAAATTCAAAAATTGTTCACTTATTAAATTAAAGATTTAAGAAATTATACAAATATACATATATATATATATATAGATATAAATATATATATATGTATATTATATACGTACGTATACGTTTGTATATAAAAATAATAGCTAATTTATTTGCATGCATACACTTGTGTTGGTGATATATAATATAATACAAATGTATGTATACTTATGTATGTTATAAACAGGCCTATTTAAAAGAAAAGAATCTTAAATATTTAATTTTTCAATAATTTTTCATATTGAATTCACATTTCTTGCTGTTGTTGTTTTTTTATTTTTGTAAATAAAAGTGGCATAAAAATTAAATAATTATAAGTGGCATAGTACGAATATATATGTATGTTTTTATGTAGGTTTAGTAGGTCTGTCGTTCTGTCTGCGCGTACGTAAATAGTATTCAAAAAAAAAAAAAACAAGTAGTAGAAGTATAAAAATATTGGTAATTGGTAGTGGTAGTTTTACTACGCCTAACACACGATCAAGAATTGAGTACCTTTTATACATAACGGTTATTAATTTTTTTTTTTTCAATTTCAAACTCGAAAATACACTTTTTTGCTGTTCATCACTATTGTTGTAATGAAATAAACATTTAAAATTTGTATTTTAATATTTTACGGCATTAAAAGTAAATATATTTACTCTTAGCGATAAAAAAAATATGTAATTTAATTTAAAATAATATATGTAAATGAACCTTTTTTGACACATTCACATATATTTATGCGCTGCATGTTCACATAGGTATGTATTGCATATGTACTACATAAAATAATAAACTATAGCTAGACTTAGGCTCAACCATTTAGGGGAAAGGGAAAATGTGTGTTTGTTTGAGTAACTGAAACTTTTGAGTGTGTTTTTTTGTTGGTGCAGGTATAGTTTTTTCTTGCAACATATTAATGCAAACATTTATTTACATGTATGCATTGCTATTTTTAATTTTTTTTTTGTATTTTATTTGTTTTTTATTTGCCGGCTTCTCTCACTTATGTATACTCATATTCTTCATATAATTAGGCTGCTGCTTGATGACATCATAGAGATCCGAATATTGAGTGTATATGGGGATGTATAGGAATAGCGTGTGACAGTGTGTGTGGTGGAGGTGGTGGTGGTGCTTGTACACCCAATGCGCCACCGCCGCCGCCAGCGCCGCTGTGAGCTGGCGGCAGATGTGTTGGCGGTCCACACAAGCTAGCGCCGCCGCCACTCACGTGAGACGCCTGGTGCGCTTGCACTGGATGATGGGCTACAGCTGCTGCTGCGGCTGCCGCTGCGGCGGCGCTACCTGGCAGCGGTGTGACCGGTGGCAGCGTAATCGAGAGTGTTACGGTTTGTGGTGGTGAGAGGCCATGCTGTGAGTGCTGATGCTGTTGTTGTTGTTGATGTTGTTGCTGTTGCTGTTGTTGTTGCTGTTGCGCCGCAGAATTTGTGCCACCACTGTGCGCCGTTGTCGGCACTACTACGCCAGCACCTGCTCCTGCTCCACCGACATTATTAGCTGCTGCTGCCGCCGCCACAGCTGCCGCTGCCGCTGCGGCTGCTGTTGTTGTGGTGGGATGTCACTGAGCCACCACCGATGTGGGCGTATTTTGTTGCACCACCACTCCAGGCGCCACCGAATTCGGCACCGTCACATTTACTGGCTGCTGGGTGGCTGCGCCACCGCTATGCGCCGCTGTGGGCTGTCCTTGTGTTTGAAATGGTTGTTGGAAGGGCGGTCCATAACACTGCGGGAAGTACAGTTCATTCTTGACCACAGACTGTTGTACGGCTGCATTCTGTACGGCCGCCATTGCGCGTGGTATTATATTCGCTTTATTATCGCCACCTGCCGCTGCCGGATTGTTGTTGTTGAGGAATTGCTGTGCCGCATTCTTTGTCTCGTTCATGAGATGATTAGCCGCGGCTGCTGCGGCTGCGGCGGCAGCATGACTGTTGGCATTCGGATTGTTGTTGGCGTTGTTGGCGGCATTCTGTGTATTCGGATTGCTTTGGCGAGGCCTCTTGGTCGTGTTCGGATTCATGTGGTTGTCGATGTGCTTGGTCACCTCGTTTTCGGTGGCAAAGCGACGTCGGCAATTTGGCATCGGACAGCAGAATGGACGATCGCCCTGTGGAAAGATGAGGGGAATAAATTGTGTTAGTTGCAATTTAAATTATATGAAAATTTTCAAAAAGGTTAGTAACTCCTAATATTATCTATATTAACAAACGCAATGCAATTTAAGTAAGCTTCTGAGCTTTCAAAGATTCTAAAAGTAAAAAGAAGAAGTCGAATATTTTTGAAAGCTTTAAAAATTTTTAAGAATTTTCATAATCAAATTAATTAATTAAAATTAATTGGTTTTCTGAGTTTTTAGTTACCCCAAAAGCTCTTTAGAGCTTTTAAAAAATTTAAATTTTATGAATAGTTTTAACAGTTAAGGTTTTTTTGAATTGAATATCAATTTTAGAACCTCATATTTTTTACACCTATAGGCGTATATTGTTAAAAGATCTCGGATATTTTTAACGGTTTTCAAAATGGGTTCATAACATGCGTTTAAAACTTTATGAGTAAAGAATATTAAAATTAAGAATTTTCAGTGTTTTTTCGTGTCAAATCTACAAGTTTACAACTACCTGGTGAGTGCGTGTATGCTGATCCAATATGGCCTTCTGACGGAAATCTTTACCGCACTGCGCGCACTTGTACGGCTTCTCGCCGGTGTGTATACGAATATGCTGTAGAGAAATGAATAAAACGTCAATTAATAATATTCACTAATTAAATTGACTCTTTAATGATATTTTTTCTGATTTTTTACACAATAAAAATTCACCTGATTCAGTATGGTGCGCTGTCGGAAGAAACGCGGACAATACAAACAACCGAACGGCTTCTCATTCGTATGTATTCGTAAATGTTGCGTTAGGTGCGACTGTTGACGGAAGCGCTTACCGCATTCGGGACACGGATACGGACGTGACTCGATGTGTATGCAACCATGCTGCAGTAGAGTTGTCTTCTGCTTGAATTCCTTGTCACAGATGGGACAACGCACATAGAGCGGCATATTGGCTGGTCGCACACCGATATGTTGTAGTACGTCTGGCAAGATCTTTTGCCCTGAAAATTTGGAGGAAAAGAAATATGGGAAAATCCCAAATGAATCAATGTTGCTAAGCTAAGAGTTGGTACAATAAATTATTAAAAAATACATGAACATTTGTGCAATATATATACTTAAGTAAATACAATTTTGAAAATATGTTAAACAAACAGACAACAACAACAACATATTGAAAAAAAAAAAGAATTATGCCAAATTTCAGAAATAAATAAACATTTATATAATTGTCATTTGATAACCGCTTAAATATTCACAGCCGAGTTCCTCCTTCGATGTTTGGCATGCTTCTCAATGGGTCTCCATTGGATGGAAATATTTTAAACTTAATTTCTTAAATAAAATAAACTTACAGAGCAACAAGCCAAGGAGAATTTTCATCTGGAAGAGTCTCTGGAAATGATTTTATTCTAACTGTACTTCTTTTATACCGAAATGAACTTTCACACAAAATTTTACGTTTTTTTAATAATTTTTTTTTTTTAATAATTCTATTTTTTTATTAAATGCGTCACCAGATAATTGGTTTTTGCAATTTATTTTTTTATATAAAAAAGGTAGAGAGAGGGTTAAGTGTCATTTGTTTTTATTTGTATTCAAAACGGTGACTCTTTGAGTGAAGTGTGGAGTATGAACAGTTGGTGGTTATATAAGATAGAATGGTGTAAGAGAACTTGTGAGAGCCCTTTCTCGAAACTTGTTCAAGCTAAGAAAGAAGTTCGCTATCGCTCAGCAAGGATTCCAGCTTATGGACTGAAACTGTCTCAGAGTATTGATTCGTTTCGTTTCATAAAATATAGCTCTGGTAATGACAGAGCACATGAATTTCAAGGATGTTTTTTGAACCATAAATATATTCATGACTAGTACAAAAATTGAAAAAAGAGCGACGTTATAAAATAACAGTGAAAATAAATAAGCATTTTTAAATATTTCTTTTTAAGTAAATAAACATATTTTAACTACATAATGTAAGTATTAAAAGTGAAAAGAAAATTGAAAAAAAATGGTTCGTATACGTACAGTTCTTATTACCTTTGCTGTCCTTAAAGTATGATGGATAATGTATACCGCCACTGCCGTCTGGCGTACCCTGTGAATCCTCATCATGATAACCCCCACTACCACCGGCTATATCATTCTTCGTATCAGTCTCATCACCCGGATATGGTACATCCTGTGGCCAGAGCGTCGGGTGTGGCCCATTCTTGAAGATAAGATTCGGTGAGACATCTGTTTAACGGTACGTGTTTACGTGATAAACGTGAGTACGCGGTAAAGAAAGAAAAGTTAAAACAAGTTGCTTGTTAGTAAGTAACGAATTTGGGTACAAAACCCATTTCGAAAATGTAGATAGTAAATTTCTGAAATTTTAACTCATTTTTTTCGTATGAAATTTGCTAAGCTAAACTACAATACATAAAAATGAAAATAATAAACCAAAGAAGTAGAAAACATATAACAAATAAATATTGATAATTATTAAAATTTGAGCAGGCGTTGTGCTTCAGCACTTTTTGGGCTTCTTTAGGGGTTATGAAATTTTTAGGTGTTTTTTCTACTATGTTTTCAGGTGTTTGCTACGTAAGTGTGTGTGTGTATGTGTGTGCGTAATAATGTGTAGTGTTTCAATATATTTTTTAAAATAATAAATAAGCCGAAAATTTTTGCCAGATTTTTTACGCCTTTTCAAAATGGTGAATGGAGGTTTGCTTAAGTGCTTCCCCCTCTTCATGTAACAATCGATGTTCCTTCAAGCCTACCTGATTTAAAGCTTTCTAACTGTTCTTACTGATAAATGTTCCGACTTTAAGTAAATTATAAAAAAAATATGCTTCAAATATATAGTCAAATAAAATAAATAATAATAAACCAATTTAAATTAAACTAAATAAATTAAAAAAATAAATAAAGTTAAATAAAATAAAATGAATTAAATGTAAACTAAAATTAAAAAAAAAAATAAGAAAAAATTGTATTAAAAAATAAAATAAATTAAAATAAAATTTTAAATTAAAATAAGAAATAAAATAAAATAAAATTAAATTAAATTAAATAATATAAAATAAAATAAAATAAAATAAAATAAAATAAAATAAAATAAAATAAAATAAAATAAAATAAAATAAAATAAAATATGATAAAATAAATAAAAACAAAAATTTTAAGATTCATTAAAATGAGATAAAATAAGATATAAAATAAAATATAATAAATAATGCCCAAGAAATAACTATGAAAATTCAAAGCATGTAAAAAATGAACTATATTGAAAAATAAAATGAAAAAGTCATATGTGCGGCAAGGAAAAATGTTTGCCAAAAACTCATAAAAAAAAGAGAAAGTAATACACAAAAAAAAAATAAATAAAAATATGCTTTGAACTTTTTTTTCTCAAACTATTTAAACAACTTTTTCACTTAAATTCTGAACTTGAACAATAATGTTTGTATTGATTTTTATTTTATTAAAAACCAATTATATATGAAAATGTTTTCCCTTTATCGCATTTTGTTCAACACAAAAAAATTAGAAACTTTTCATCAGTAATCCCATGAAATCTATGTAAGTGTCGAGTCCTCTATTAACTTCATTCTACGTTTTCCCCGTTTTTAGTTATTGAACAGCAAAACCATCACCATTCTGAAAAGGCAGCCATTTCCTTCTATCAAAGCCGCATAGAAGACTTAATTTGATTGTTATTTTGAAAATTTTGAAATTTTGAATTTTGCAGGGGCATTAGCAGGATGTTTGTGTCTAAGAGCTCTTCCTAAACTCGCTATCATGGCTAACTAACTGTTTTGTAAGTTACTGTATGTATTTATGAATAACTGTATGTATGTATAAGTAATTTTCTCGTTCCCTAACTATCTATCGCTATCTCTCTCTTTCACTAATTGTATCACTGCCTCTGCCTAAATAATCAAATTCTGCAAAAATTTGCAATTTTTTCAATTGTTTCAATAACTGTCGCTCGCCTTGGTGGGTGCGCACATGTTGATTGAGGATGGCCTTCTGGCGAAAGTGCTTGCCGCACTCTGGGCATGCGTAGGGCTTCTCACCCGAATGGATGCGTATATGTTGGTTGAGTATCGCCCGCTGACGGAAGCTGCGCGAACAATAGCCACATGTGAAGGGTTTCTCATTCGCGTGTATGCGTAAATGTTGTGTTAGATGCGATTGCTGACGGAAACGTTTGCCGCACTCCGAACATGGATAGGGACGTGCATCTGTATGTATACGATCGTGTTGTAGTAGCGTACTCTTCTGTTTGAAATCTTTGCCGCAGGTCAAGCATTTGAATAAACGCAAATCGCTGTGCGGTTTTGGCGGTTTATTTGGATTGGGATGACGTCCACGACCGCTGCCGGTGCCGGTACCTGTGCCAGTACCACCACTGCCGGTGCCAGTGCCAGCGCCGGTGCCATTACTAGTACCAGCTGTTGCACCGCCTGTACCTTCCGCACCACCGCCACCACCATTGCCATTCGCACCGCCGGCATGTGCATTGCCGCCATTACCGCCAGCGCCACCATTCTGCTGACCGTTATTGCCTTGTTGACCACCGCCACCATCGCCTCCGCCCGGCAGCAGTTCGGGCATGGCATAACCCTCAAGACCGCCATTCTGTTCCATCGCACTCGCCATGCCAGGCAGTACGGGTTTGTTGAGATAGTGCAATGCCGGAAAGCCGGGTGGCGGCAGCATGGTACCTTGAGGCCCTGGATGGCGTGGCGCATAGTAGCCACCGAGTTCGCCGCCCTGCGGCGCCTGGAAGTTATCGTTAGGTTGGCCCGGTTGCGTCGGACCGCCATTCTGTACGTGCTGTTGTGGATTCCCCGTACCGCCGTCACCGCCTGATGACTGATGCCGTTGCGGGTCGTTGTTGCTTTGGTTTGGATTGGGCTGCGCTGAATTCTGCTGGCCGGCCAGGTTAGCGACCTAAAAATAATAAATTTGTATAAAGAATTGAATAAGAATTAATGAAGTCATTCATAGTATGACAATCATTGCAAAATTCAGTTATTTAGTCTTGCCATCAACGCACCTGATTCATGGTGACATCATCATCGGGTGGCCCGCCGCCATTAACGCGCTGTTGCGGTGGATACGGGCTGGTCGAAGGCGAACCCTGCTGTCGGCCGACGCCATCGCCGCCATTTTCACGTACATTCGGATCACCCGTTGGACTTTGCGGCTGTTGACCCTGTTGTTGTTGCTGCTGCTGCTGCTGCTGCTGTTGCGCCACCGCCGCTGCTGCGGCCTGAGCTGCACTAGCTATTTGCGCTGCCGGATTTTGTCCATTCTGTTGTTGTTGCGCTTGCAAATGTTGTTGCGCCTGTTGTTGTATACCCGGATACATTTCACTGCCCCACTGCGCAGCCGAACCGCCAATCGCTGCCGGATTGCGTTCGCCATCTTGTGAGTCCTTGTACAGCACATAGGGTTGCCCCGTGTCTTGCGTGATGCAGTACATTATTTGTCTTGGCACCTTCAGTCCAGCGGCGATACAAGCCGCAAAAGATGCGGAGAAGTTGATCGCCATATCGCTGGAAGAAGATGTGTGCGGGTGTGTGTGTATTGTGATTTTTGTTCCTCCCTACGTGGTGTTGAAAAAATCAAAGAGAGGATTTGGATATTTTTAGCGGAGTTTGATTTTTAGCTCCCTGCGTTGTGGTGTTTGTTTTTGTTTTTTGTTTTTTTTTTTTTGTTCAATTTTATCAATTAAACTTTACGGTTTTATTGCTCGTTAAAGCTCATTTTGACCGTTACACGATTGCTCTGTCTTCGTTAGACTTTTGTATATGCTGCTATTCTTGTTGTTGTTATAATTGGTTGATTCTTTCTTTTTAATGGTGTTTTGCATTGATTTTTTGATCTTCTTTACAAAAAAAACAACAAAGCTTTAACACGCCTTTTTCGTGAGCTCAATTGTTGTTGCTTTTGTTGCTGTTCTACTTGTGTTTGTTGCTTTTAAGGGGTTTTTCATATTTTGTTGAAGGTTTCTTTTTATTGCAATCTTTTATTATCGTGCTTTACTTTTTATTACCTTTCTTCTTAAAAATTTAATTGTCAGTATATTTTTATGCTCAGATTTTTTATTATTCTGTATTAAATGAATTTTACGATTTCCTTATTTTATTTGGTTTCTACTTTATGCTTATAAACTCCTCTCCTTTGATCCCAAGTGGTTATTTTTTGTGTCTAAAGTTAAAATATTTATTTTTTTTTTTTGACAAAAGATTCTTCAAATCTTTGTTGTTTTGGGCTGTTCAATATTTTGATGCCAACTGAAGATCACCGTAGTTATTTTTGTTGGCTCTGTATCTGGAAGATGGAAGAAAACGTGAGGCTAGAATTAAATTTAATTATAAAATGACTTTAATAAATCTCTTGGTAAAAAATAATAGTAAATTTTGTAGTAAAATTCGATCAAATATGTGTCTGAAAACCTACTACACTTTTCATTGAAATAGGTCAAAAAATTTTAATTCAACCGTTTGAGTAATTTTAATAAATAAAGGATTAAAGTTCGAATTTTTTTATATAGTGGAATTGTCCATAACAACTAATCCACTGGTTATTCCTATAAACTACTGAGTTGAAAAGTCCATTGAAAGAAAACGCCCTAAAAGTATGCTTTCAATAATATACCACCTCGTAGATTCGAGAGAGTTGCAGTACGGAATTCGTAGTATTTGTGAGTATCACAACCGAATTCATAAGATGGTTTGGGAATACAAGGAATAATTTTAGTTACGGCGACATGTTCCCGCAAACGAAATGAAATGTGTCTCAAAATATTTTACAGTAGGATTGTATTTTTCCTTTTCGCTGCAAGGCTCATGTATATTTTGGATTTTGGGGTTGAACTAATGCAGGTTCTTCCCCCCTACGGATCGCTATTCCCTCAGTCAGGTTACCATTAGAAAAATATGAATCGTAAATTCATACGATTTCGCCTCGGCTATTTGAGACGAGTAAGTAACCCAACTCATCTTCACGCCTAATTAAAGTCTTCTTCGAGTTTGGGCGTCAATAAATCAATATTTGTAGATAAATGTGCTCTCAAAATTACAAAAACTAAAACGACATAAATTGTCGGGCCACCTACAACTAAGGTAATTACTAATAATTATGTATTCTATATACATATAGTTCTTTTCTTTTTTTTTTTTTTTTTGAAATTTTGAACGGGATTTTGCATAAATAATGTTTTACAATATAATCCTCTAGACCAGAAATTTATTAAAGATTTTAAGCCATGCATGCTTCGAATTAAATAGCTTTTATACTTCAATAATTCCTAGCGTCACTCAGCGAGCTAGCTATAGCTATATCATATATAGATAAATGTATTCCACGTACATATGTACATATACATGTATTCTAGTCAATTAATCATTATAAAACAACACAACTTTCCATGCAATAAATCACGATTTCGCGCAACATTGCCGCAAACGTAATCGCCGACAGATTTTTGCATGCTACATAGCTACATACATACACGTATGTACATACTACATGCATAACTTAGTCACGATGTGTTTGATGCACGTTACTTATGTACATAGTCGTACGTTACAAAAAAAAAAATATTAAATACATTTTATATAAAATAAATACAATTTAATAAATTACTAGTGGTTGATAACTCGCACAAAAAATTTAAATTTATTAAGCGAATTTTAAGCTTTGCAAGTTTGGTAAAATATAATAAATATAAAAAAGCGCTTTGAAGATAATTTTCTAAATTATTTTTTTTTTAAATTTTCTAATTGATTATTATATTTTGGTTTTTATTTCTATTGATGAGTGCATAAGTTCGTGCCCGATTCCGCTGGATGCCGTTCGAATCGTTTGAGAGTGGCGCTCGTGAAAGAAATATATACATATTATATATCGTTGGAAAGGTGACAGACCGAACTGTAAATCAAGCATAAAAAAAACATCATTTTGATTTGAGTTGCTTAGTGAAAAGACGCATGGAAAATGGACAACGAAAAAGATCATATGCGTCATATTATGTTATACGAGTTCCGCAAAGGAAAACCAGTAGGCGCTGCAACTAAAGATATTCGCGAAGTTTATTTGGACCGTGCTCCAGCACTCCGCACAGTAAAGAAAAGGTTCGCGAAATTTCGTTCTGGAGATTTTAACCTCGAAGATCAACCTCTCAGTGGACGGCCTTCTGAGCTTGATGATGATGTTCTAAGGACTTTAGTTGCGAATAACTCACGTATTTCGACGGGAGAGGTTGCCAGTGAATTGAACGTCAACAAATCAACCGCGTTTCGTCGTTTAAAAAAGGTTGGGTACACTTTGAAGATCGATACATCGGTGCCACATAAGTTGAGTAAAAAAAACAAAGTGGACCGTATGTCAACAGCAATTTCTGTGCTTCGACGGATCAAAAACGAACCTTTTTTGGATCGGCTCGTGACTGGTGATGAAAAATGGATCCTGTACAACAATGTTCAACGCAAAAGAACATGGAAACAGGCACACGAAGGGGCGGAACCGATGTCGAAAGGTGGATTGCATCCGATGAAGGCACTGCTGTGCATTTGGTGGGATATCCAAGGCGTGATCTATTTTGAGCTCTTGCCAGCTGGAGAAACGATCACTGCCAACAAGTATTGTCAGCAATTGGTCGAATTGAAGAAAGCAATTGATGAAAAACGTCCGATTTTGGCCAATCGCAAAGGAGTTCTTTTCCATCATGACAACGCCAGGCCACATGTTGCAAAACCGACCCTGCCCAAACTGAAGGAGATGAATTGGGAAATCATGCTGCATCCCCCATATTCACCCGTCATTGCACCTTCTGATTATCGTTTGTTTCGATCGCTGCAGAACAATTTGAATGGAAAAAAATTTAAAATTGTGGAAGACGTCAAAAGCCACCTTGACACCTTTTTCAACGAGAAACCGCGCGATTTCTATGAATCAGGCATTCGTAAATTGGTTGAACGTTGGGAGTGGATAGCCGAATATGATGGCGAATACATAATTGATTAATAAAAGCGCTTTCTTCAAAAATTTTCAATTTTAGTTTGCACTTGAAATCGGGCACGAACTTATGCATTCATCAATAATATAAAATGTTAACCAACAATTTTCATATCATTAGAAAAATATTTCTTTTTTTTTAAGTTTTATTAAACAATTTTTTTTTTTTTCAATGTTTTTTATAAATTTTTGCTAAATTTTTTAATTTCTATTATATTTTGTTCATTTTTTCATTATATTATTTATATTTATTTTTTTGTTTTATGCCATATTTTTATTAATTGATTAAAAAAATATTGGAAATATACTTCTAAAGTGTTTTTTATTTCACATCTTTGATTTATTTTCTTTCGTTGAATTTAATTATCATTTCTTGTTGTTTAATATTTATTATTTTCATTTCATTTCTATTCATTTTGTACTTTTATTATTTCTACTATATTTTTTTAAATTTTTTTTAATCAAATAATGATCTCATCCAGCTCAAGTGAAAAAAATATTACACTTATATATGTACAAAAAATCAGCTGCCATTTAAAATCCTAAAATTCTTTTCAGGTTCACCAAAGCTTCTCAAATCCCAACTTTTGCGGTCAGCTTTACAAAAAAATACATATGTGTATGTATGTCTGCACACATAAACATACAACTGATCACATACGCAAAATTTCATGCCCACTTCACCAGCCAGCCTGTGTATGACATCACGCTCTTGCCAGCAAACGATCGGCTTAATGGCGCCGCGGCATGCCACCACAGGCGTGCGGCGTGCGGCGTGCGGCCTGCGTTCACTGACAATATGAACTTTTAAGTTGTTGAACAAAACCGCTAACGCTTTGAAGTAACAAGCCAAAACTGTAAAGTGATCTCAGTTAGTCTGGTTGGGGGGAGGAAGGAAATATGAGATCGATGCTTTGTGGTGGAATATTGTAAAGGGCAAAAAGTGAAGCCTACAATTGTGGATAGCGGCAGATTGAGGAGCGGCAGTTGTGCGGAATACTTTATTCAAAGCTTTGAAGAGATTTTTCGCAGATTTTCGAGTTCAAAATGTTGACATTGAAGCCAAGAAAGCCTACTCAAGTCTGACACTGATGCAATGAACGGCAGCAGGAATAAGCATATAAGCTGCTGGCGGCGCGTTGAGTCAAGTGTTCATCGCCGTTATGTGTAATCCTTCTATTAACCCCGCCTACTAACACGAAACTCAGGCAAATACACATACACACCCTCCGCAAAAGCTGTTTAAGTGCAATCAAGAATTTTGCACAGCTCTTGCCGAACAATGCCTCGTACTTGCATGTATGTAACACGCGAGCATGCCAAGACCTTGATCCCGTATTAATGGGAAACCTATTGGTAGCGCACATTGGCATTGGCCCAAAGTTGGAACGTGCTATGAGACAAGCGGACAAAGCAGTCAAGCTGGCAAAGCGGCGGACAGGCTTAGCGACGCAAAGATACGCTGATAGTATTTCTTAGTCAGTCGAGCAAAGCAGCCTGACAGCCATTCAGCCTGCGCGTGTGCAAGGCTCGTATAACAAAAGCACAGCCACTCCCTAACTCGATAGCGATATATCGCCTACTTTAGGCACATTCCGGTGCTGATTTTTCGGAATTCTAATCGGAAGCGAAGTTGGCAGCAAAACTTTTTTATTTACTTAATCTGATTGGCAGTTTAAGTTTTGGTGCAGAATAAAGTTAGGCTTTCGAAACGGGTTTTCAAGTTAGAAATAGAGTTTTTGAGTTCCCAGAGTGTATAATGCAAACACCGTGTGATAACGAGCGTAAATATGTGTGGGTATCGAACTTTCCGAAGCTGATGTCATACTTAACTTTTATGGGATTAGTCTGCGGAGCCGGAGAAATAAAATCAGTCGAATACATCGTGCCGATACTGACGATTCGTCACATCACCAGCATAAATGTTCATATGTATGTAGTCTCCGTAGGTATTCTCTTACAATCAGTAGCTATTGATCTTGACTTTTGACAAAGTAAAATACTCTGACTACATTGTAGCATGCTAACTAAATTCTGGCTGCTCACTGAACCCCTCTTCCGCTCCTCGTTGATACAATATATATATATATATATATATATATTTATTTAATTTATTACAATTTTTTTCGCTTGAACTTCTTGGTGTGCCCAACCCATTTTAAGTAATTCAGACGCTCTGACTCTCCGCTGGTGGTGTCGGCCAACCCAACCCATTTCATGCCATTGCCATTATCACTGCAATCCGTTCAGATTTTGAAAGATTGCAAATCAAAAAAAAAAAAAAAACGTTACACATTTTTTTTTTCATTAAT